ACATTTCTTGGAGTGGGTAGATGATATTTGCATCATTTGATCTTTGTGAGGTTATATTTGTTTCCTTTTTCCTCTGGAATATGAAGATCTCTTCTTAATTCACTACTGAAAGTAATATAATTTGGCTCTCTTATTTTGTATCTTATTCTATAGTATGCCATTAGAAATTGCTTTGATTATATGTATTTGCCTTTCTGCCTTGGCTTAGTTCAAGAAAACTGGTTATTTCTTGATTTAAGAGCGAGTAAAGTTATTTTCTGTGAGTTATGTTCATTGTGTGGACTTTATTTCTATTTCTAGAATATTAGTCATTGCATATTACGTCTACAGCATTCTGACGCTATCAGGTGTGCCTCAAATGGAAAGGTGCCGTCCCCTTGCACCTTTTGTGCCTTATGTTAGTGTGTGCCTGTGCTTTGCCCTTGTGTGTTGCCTCTTGCCTAAAAGACCGCTTAAGTGTCTAGGTGTGCCTAGTGCATTTAAATCACTGTGTGACAACATGATGAAAATTTTGTACAAACTAGTTTTCTGCATAACTTTGTAATGAAGTTGTTCATCATCCTAAGGCTTAACTGATTAGTTTCCTGAACAGTAAATGGGGATGGAATAGTATTTCACTCTTGATTGAACCAATTGGAATGTGGCTATGAGTTCTTGCCCATATTTGATGTATGTTGAACAGTTTTTCCATAACTTTTTAATTCTTAAATGTTGGAATGATTGTCCTTCTATTTTAGAAGTATCCATCTTTTCCTTCAACTTATCTTAGAATCTTTTTCAACTTTTGAATTCTTAAATGTTTGGTATTGTAAAATCATGAAATTCTTGTGCCAGCTTATCTTAGTAATTTAGAATCTTTAGAGCCACTTTGATCATGCTATGCCTATGTCTTTCATTGCTATTCAATTTTCTGTTTTAACACAGTATTCACTTTCCTTTCCAGTATTCAGCAAATAGCAGATGGTTGTTTAATATGGGAGGGGTGGTCTAGTACTGCATTAGCCCAAAGACATGAAACATCAAATAGTTTGCAGATTATCTTGGAGCCAGAGGGTTAGTTTGTTATAATAAAGGTTAAGGCAGGTTGGTGTTTAGTTTTAGTTCATCTCATATCATAAGTAAAGGACATATTGAATGCAGGAATTTAAGATATTGACTGAATGAATAGAATGCTCCAAATAAGGCAACTCTGTTTCATGTTATAGTCCCGGGTTAACTTTTATTAGCCTTAGGGTGCAGCATATAAGTTGTTTTACATTTCTACATGAAGCTCTTATGTAATATCTGCTGGTCTGTCGATGCACTGTATAAGCCTCCTAAGTAGCCTTTCACATTTTTCACAATTGCCTATGCTAGCATGCTGCCGATATTGATAACTATGCTAACTGGACTGAGGTTTAATTGCATGTAATTTCGAATTTTATCTCTCTTTCTGAATTTTTTAAATTGCTTGCTTGTTCCCACAGGATCGTCGATGATGGGATGTGACTTGTGAGCCATTTTCCAAGGACCTATAGATGGATTACAATGGTCCATTTTCAGAGATTCTGTTGAGCTATTGCCTTAATGGAGATGATTTTTGCTTGATGTGTGGAGCTCTAGAAATAAATGTGAAATTTTGTAATTTTAGGTCTCTTCATTTTTTGTTTTGTTTTGTTTTGTTTCATTATTTTCTAAGTTTGTAAATGGAAAGAAACCTTACTTGGTCATGTCCGGGAAAAGTGACATGAGCACTGCTAGGAGCTAGTGCGCTTGAACACTCTTACATTATGACACGTTATTTTGCTAAAAGAGATACTGGATACCGCGTTAACTAGGGCTGGGCGCGCGGGTGACAACCACACCAAAATTGGGCATACAGTACGAGCACAAACGGGCTTCGGGGCCAAGGAATGGTTGAGGCCGGAAACCGTTTATAATTGGTGTGATGTTTGATTTCAGGCCCAAGAATCGAACAACAGAATAATACACCTGAAAACTCGCATTATTTTTTAAGAAATAAAACATAAAAAACCCTAATTGGTTTTTGATTAATTGATTAAATTTTTTATCAGAGTATTCGTGATCAGATTGCCCTCTGTGCATCCTTCTTCCATAATTTTCTTAATTTCTTTCCTTTTTGTTATTATATATTTTTTTTGAAAATGCACCACTCAACAGTATTGTCCTTCTAGGAAAATAATAAATTATGTTACTAACTCGGGAATAACATTTTAACAGAAATTGCCCAGATTTTTTTTTTTTTTTTATATTATAGGGGCTAAGGGAGGAGAACTGCACCTTTGCACGATAATTGAAAAAAATTTACTTTTAGTTAATGGTCAGTATAAAATGAAGGTTATTTTTTTTTATTTTAATAAGTGAAGGGTTAAAACTTATAAATATAATAAGATGAAGAGTTAAAATTGTAATAGTATAAAATAAAGGGTTAAATAATAAGGTGAGGAGCTCAAAGTGTTTTATGCAAAAGATTGTATTTTGTATGAAAATTAAATGGCAGTGATACAAAAATAATGATATAGGTTTTTATATAATTTTTATATATTATTAAATAAGTGAATATATTTAATATTATAAATTTAAATAAACAAAAAATCACATGTTAATATAAAATTTATTCATATGGGATAGGGCCCATGAAAGTTATTCCAAAAGTAAGAATGCAAACATTCTACTGAAGAATGTTTACCATATCGCCATATCGCCTTCTACTGAAGAATGGTAAGAATGTTATTCCAAAAGTAAGCGCATTCCTTCTACTGAAGAATGTTTATCGCCTTCTACTGAAGAATGTTATTCCAAAAGGAAGCGCATTCTCTTCTACTGAAGAAGCGCATTCTTTCTACCTTCTACTGAAGAATGGTAAGAATGTTATTCCCAAAAGTAAGCGCATTCTACTGAAGAATGATAAGAATGTTATTCCAAAAGTAAGCGCATTCCTTCATTCTACTGAAAGAATGGTAAGAATGTTATTCCAAATGTAAGCGCATTTCTTCTACTGAAGAATGTTTACCAAAAGTAAGCGCATTCTACTGAAGTATGGTAAGAATGTTATTCCAAAAGTAAGCGCATTCCTTCTACTGAAGAATGTTTACCATATCGCCACTTCTACTGTGGGTCCCATCCTTTCACCGCTATATTCCAAAAGTAGAATGCATGTTTATTTCAATTGCTGCCGCAGAAAAAATGGTCAAAGTCAATATGCAAAAAGTAGAATGCATGAAAATGTTTATTTCAATTAGCACTGCTCTTATAAATCTATATAAAAAGATCCCAGAACGTCCCACCACCACATCATAAGCTGTGAGATCGAAAAAAGAAATAAGAAATGACTAATAATCTGACGGATCAGGAAGAAGAAGCAGAAGCAGAAGCAGCAGCAACTCTCCTTGCAATGCAAGCAGAAGCGACGGATCAGGAAGCAGAAGCAGAAGCAGCAGCAACTCTCCTTGCAATGGCCACTTTGTTTCAGAATATCCAAAAAAAAAAAAAAAAAAAACATAGAAAAGGAAAAAAAAAAAGAAAAGAAAAAAAGGAAAAAAAATCTACAAAATAAAGTCTTCCATCAGTTTATAGGACAAACTTTCTTTTCTTCTGAGGGAACAGTCTTTCTCACTAGGCTCTACTTTTATTGCTCTCATATTTGATTGATTGAAATCATGAAGCTAGTTTATAGTAAGAGTAGTAGAATTTTGAATAGCTAACTAACCTATCTTCTAATCAATGTTAGTTAGTTTGATTGTCTGTTAAATTTGACCTTTTCCTTTGAGTGACTTTTTGCTTTCCAACTCCATGAGAGAAATCCTTTGCCTTAAATAGTTACTATCGCATGAGGATATGGAATTGAGACTTTTACTTTGATTAATTCTCAAGGCTATATATGTTGTGGTTTGTGGTGTGAAGGTTATGCTTAGTTCACACACACTTTTGGAAGTTATAATTGAAGTAATCTTGATAGCAACTGTGATCTTTTTCCAAATACCTAGGTAGTCTTGTTAGATATCCATTTGAGTTAATCAACATGCTTTCTTTTTTAATTCACGCTTGAATTGCTAGAGACTAGCAATAAACTGGTTGGGGGTTGTGATGAAAGCATGAAAATGCATATTTAAAGTGTGTTTAACCATTAGCGTTTGTGGAATTATGGGTTTAGGAGTTGTGCTTTTTTACAAGTAATTTCATAAATGTTCATTCTATTTATGTTCAAATTTTTGATTATTGAAGGTTTGATAATTAAATGGAGAGAATGCAAAGAGCCAGAAAGATGAGGGTCCAATGATCAAATTTAGAAGTTTGAAGGCACAAGTGGGATTTTCTCCATTTTTTTGATTAAGGAGCAAAGTTCATGAAGTTGAAGTGTTAATGAGGAGTGGTTCCAACCCCTTGTCAATGCAAAAGGATGGACAATAGCATGAGGGATTCCACAACCTGTGATCAGGTTTCAACCTCTGGTCAGTGTAAAACAAATTTAATTTTTCATTGTGAGAACTCTTTTCATTGATTTAATATAAATTCCTGTGGATTCAACACTTACAGTTATGCTACAACAACCACTCAGCCAAAGGGTTTTAATTTTGGAGCAAGACATCACTTAGTCTGCTTAGTTGCAGCAAGATGCCCTGGACAAAACTCTTAAAATTTCTTGGAGTGGGTAGATGATATTTGCATCATTTGATCTTTGTGAGGTTATATTTGTTTCCTTTTTCCTCTAGAATATGAAGATCTCTTTTTAATTCACTACCGAAAGTAATATAATTTAGCTCTCTTATTCTATAGTATGCCATTAGAAATTGCTTTGATTATATGTATTTGCCTTTCTGCCTTGGCTTAGTTCAAGAAAAGTGGTTATTTCTTGATTTAAGAGCGAGTAAAGTTATTTTCTGTGAGTTATGTTCATTGTATGGACTTCATTTCTATTTCTAGAATATTAGTCATTGCATATTATGTCTACACTGTAACACCCCATATACCTTAGTGAATAATTTAAAAATTAGTGTCCTTTAGTTTATAGTTTTAGTGACTAAATTGATTGAATTTGAAGTTTGAGGGCTTTAAGTAAAATTTAGTAGAAGTTGAATGACCATAACTCAATTATACCAATTTTACTTAGGTTTAAGTACCATTTTGGTCCCTCAACTTTTCACTTTGGTACCAAAATTGTCCCTCACCTTTAAAAAGTACCAAAATTATCCTTTGACTTTCATTTTTGGTACTAAAATGGTCCTTCCGTCAGTTAAATGACAGATGGCACGTTAACTTGCCAGCAAATCACTGGATTTTTTTAATTTTAATTACGTGTAAATTCCATGTAAGAAAATTTAATATTTTTTTTTATTTTATAATTTTTCAAAACTAAAAACAAAAAAATAAAAACTTCATTTTCTTTCTTATTCTTTTCTCTCTCTTATCGGTTTTTCTTCCTCTCCAAAACAAACAAACACAGATTTGCCCTGAGATGGATTAAGTGGAGATTGCTTTGGTTTTTTCGTGAGCCTCCATGCTTTCTTCCACTCATTAGTTTTAGCTGCTGCTGTTGCTGCTTCTTCATCAAAACAAACCCAGATCTGGGTTTGTCTCAAGCCCCGATCTGGGTTTGAGACAAACCCAGATCGGGGCTTGAGACTGCATTTCTCCATCCACCTCCGCTTCTTTCCTCACTCGCCATTTCTTCTTTGAATCGACGGATACTGTTGTGAAGAAGAGCTTGAAGCCTGGCGTCATGGCCCCCGCACGGCTCTGCAACAGCAACGGCTGGTTTGCGCCGTTGCAGGCTCACTATAGGCCCGGCCGCGTCGAGATCTGGCTCTGTCAGTTCCGGCTCCGGCAGTAACATGCGTCGGGATGTAGCTGGTTTCTGGGATCTAGCTGGCTCTGTGGTTTACAATCTCTTGGGCTTTTGCCTCTAACGAGCTAGCCACTGATGCGAGCTTCATTTTTGTTCTGGTTTTTTGAACTCTTGTGGTTTATGTTCAATTTTTTCGAACTCATGGTTTTTGTTCTGTTTTTTCAAACTCGTGGTTGATTTTTGGTCCTGATTGTGCTATTTTTCTTTGTCTTGATGGAACTAG